TTGTCACGGGGTTTTTAACAGGACACTGTCTCCTCAACGAACACCTCAGTAGATTGAAACTAAGAAGAAACGGCGAATGCAGATTCTGTGGGGAAGATGGGGAAACACCAGTACACCTCATCACTGAGTGCGCCGAGATGACAACCATTCGTGCCATGAATTTTGGTACGACTGATATTGGAGATGGAGAACTACCTTCTATAAAACCGTCCCAGATACTGGCTTTTGTCAAAGCCCTGGGACTGTATGATGAGTTATGATTCAAGAAAGGGGGACACAATGGATCTGTAAGGTCGAAGTGATTAACCCCCCTCCCACTCATTCTAAATTCTAAAAAATTCAGGGTTGGGTAACGACAGAATTCAGGGTTGGGTAACGAGTAGAAAATTAATTTTCTACGTGTATGTAGAAAAGTGCGTAGAAAATGTATAAAATCTGAGAACAGGTACAAAATTTATTTTGTATATTTAATGCCGTTTTTTCACTTTAGAGGTTTCTTCCTTTCTATTTTCTTTATATCCTATAAATGTTAAAACTGGAATATGTGAGCACGAGCTATCTCTCTAGTCTGTGACGGTACTAACTCCCTGAAGATAAAAGACAGTAATCGATCTGAAGACTATTAGAATATTTTTTTTCTGTTTAATCTGAAGACCGTACAGAAAAGTCTGATTTTTTTTCTTTGAAAGTTTTCATTTGCCTATGGTTTCATAAACTATACATACACATATAATAATTATTGTAGTTTGTAGTTCTTACTTTCATTATGTTAGATGTTATTTTTTTTTGTTGTTCTGTTTCAGTCTTACCGAAGTTCACAGAATTACTTGGAAACTTTGATCTTACTATTGAAAACTTTTAAGATATCCGTAAACTTCGACTACAGTGTATAACAAATCCAGAAAATGACAGAAAATACGATACGCCTGTGAATTATAATGACACGACAGTCACTGTCACGCATCCTCCCAATATATAAAAAAAAAACAAATAAATATAAACTCAAAAAAATGCTTACAATATACAAAACCAATTTTCTACGTGTCGAAAATTAGTGTCTACGTGTAGAAAACACGGTAGAAAATATAAAATTTTCTACCTACCCAACCCTGTGTAGCAACTTTTACCCTCCAAATTACATTCAAATCCTTTGAATAAGAAGACTAAGGAAGGAGCATATCAAAAATCTTAGGTACACCGCGATGGGCCTCAAATATGGCCGACTTAAATTCCGGTTTATCAGTGTCGTTCTAATTTTATTTAAAAAATTGAAAACTATGATGTAGGGTAGACGTGGGGTAGACTTAATAATTTGTTGTTTTATTTTACGTTGTGAATAAATGTTGGTAGTTATTAAAATTGTTATAAAAATATATAATTCTAATAAAAATAGATAAGTTATAATAAGTATTTATTAACACAAACATCCGATACGCTACTGAAGCAGGTAAGTCAAATTAAAGTATCTAAATTCTTTGACATCTAATCTTTGACAAGTAATAAATAAAAGCTAAAAATGCAAGAAAAATATATAATTTAGTTAATTTAAGTGAATTTCATAAATGATCGGTTTACTACACGTATGTATATTATATAGTCACTTACTAGCGAAAAAGTTGTTCCATTATTTCACTCAATTTTTTGCCGAGATCTACCGCACGCTACACAACCAACTATTTTAGAGTCTTTTCGATAAATCGCGATAGTGTCACTGTTAATTTAAGTTCTGCCACAATTTCCATCTAGATTTACTACCTTTACACAACTATCAGTAGTAGAATAAATAATAAATAACATAAAATAAGCTCCGTAAAGACTGACAAATCCACAAAATTTCAAATCAAATTCAAATGTGTCAAATGAATCGTCAAACAGAACTGTCAAGGATCCCCACCCTAGAGAGCTTTTATGGTGGCTTTTCCGCCCACCATGCATGAATACATGGATAGCATTATGCTCCTTCCTTAGTCTTCTCATTCAAAGTTCAAATCGCTAAGAGCACTTGGAAGAGAATTATAATAAATTGAAAAAAAAATTATTAGATTATTATTACGTGCTTTGATTAAGGCTTTATTAAGGTTTGGTTTGGCAGAGCTTCACCATTTGCCATAAAATAGCGAACAATTTATTACAAAACCATATAAATTATATATCACTTTAATCACAAAACTTCAATCTATTTCTGTATTGTAACGGAATTTTAAATTATGTCTTTATTTTCGAGAAAATTTAGTCCAAACTTAGACAAGGAAAGAGAGGGGACGGGTAACACGCATATTCTCCCGTGATCGGATAGTGAGGCCAAAATTCGATCGGCGGCCATACTTTGGTGACAAGATTTCGAGGTGACACCGAGCGAATTTTTATGTTTTTTGTGACAACTGTTTTGTTTTAAATTTATAAACTGTGTTGTTTAGTATGGTGAGATGTTCAGAGTATGGCTGCAAAGGCCGAAGCGAGAAAAAAGTGGCTGGAATTACATTTCACAGGTAAAATCGATACACAACTTTTGTTATGTGGTCATAAAATGTACATTTTTTTCATTATAGCAGTAAAAATATGTAAAATGCTTTTAATATGTCTTGTACTACATCCAAACCAAACTATTTTTAATAATTCCAAGTAGTATTTTCAATATCCTGTATTATAATTAATATTTGAAACTATAAATATTGCTACTCAGACCGGATTTCACCAGTGGCGTAGGGAATTATAATCAGAGAAATACAATTTCTGCAATAAACATTTTTTTATATATTTTACATGTAAAAAAAGTGTAAAGTATTGTTATCAAATATGTAAAATAATTAAAAATTCTAGTGATAAAAAATCTATATGTATAGTTATATAAAATTTAAATTTACCTGCCAAGATTTTTTGGGGGTGGGCTACTTGTTATTACATACATATATTTTTTTAAATATTCTTTCAAAAAATTTGGTAATTTAAGAGTATAATAATAGTTTCAGTGAGTAATTAATAAAAATTTAAAAATAAATAAAATAACACAAAGCTTCCAGAATTGTTTAATTTTTATGTGAATTAATTCGGATATTCTTAAAAATAGGATATTCTTATGATTGAAGGTAACAAATATTAAAAATTACATTATTCATTGAATCTGTACGCAAGTGTGAAGGGTAACGGCTAGATTCATTATTATACCGTATGGTCGAAAAAAAAAAACGACGTCCAGTTGGCTTGTAAATGACGATCGACGACATTCCCCATATAATTTTACATATAAAATGACAGCGATCTTCATTTCATAGCCATCGCTGACGCCGTCTTTTTTCGATGTCGTTTTGTATAGTTTTTATGTCATTTTATATGTAGAATTATATGGGGAATTTCATCGATCGTAATTTACAAGCCAACTGGACGTCGTTTTTTTTTCGATTATACGGTATAATAATGAATCTAGCCAATTATCTTCACACTTGCTTACGGATTCAATATTCAATGAATAATGTAATTTTTAATATTCATTTGTGAAATTGTCATTTCCAAACAAACAAGACGCCGTTTTTTTCGATCATACAGTATATATGTATATACACGTTTAAAATATATGTTATCACATTATTTTTTATTTAATTATACATTATACACACGTTAATAAATAAATAATTGTCTTGATAGTCAGTCCACTGTGACTGTTAAATAAATTTTGCATTATCGACTTAGATATTCTGATATTATAAAGGTGAGACTATAAAATACAAAATTGTATATGCGTTACTCAAAAATGAACGATATATTAGTTTACGTTTTAATAAATATTTTGTACCGTCTAGGTACAAGCTAATTTCTGATGCTACGCCATTGGAGAATTTTGAGTGGTGACAACTTGCCTCACTTTCAGCTGCCGTGTTACCTGTCCCCTCCCTTTCCTTGGCTAAGCTCTTGCCGGTCATGAACTTTGAATAAGAAGACTAAGGAAGGAGCATAATGCTATCCATGTATTCATGCATGGTGGGCGGAAAAGCAACCATAAAAGCTCTCTAGGGTGGGGATCCTTGACAGTTCTGTTTGACGATTCATTTGACACATCTGAATTTGATTTGAAATTTTGTGGGTTTGTCAGTCTTTACGGAGCTTATTTTATGTTATTTATTATTTATTCTACTACTGACAGTTGTATAAAGGTAGTAAATCTAGATGGAAATTGTGGCAGAACTTAAATTAACACTGACACTATCGCGATTTATCGAAAAGACTCTAAAATAGTTGGTTGTGTAGCGTGCGGTAGATCTCGGCAAAAAATTGAGTGAAATAATGGAACAACTTTTCGCTAGTAAGTGACTATATAATATACATACGTGTAGTAAACCGATCATTTATGAAATTCACTTAAATTAACTAAATTATATATTTTTCTTGCATTTTTAGCTTTTATTTATTACTTGTCAAAGATTAGATGTCAAAGAATTTAGATACGTTAATTTGACTTACCTGCTTCAGTAGCGTATCGGATGTTTGTGTTAATAAATACTTATTATAACTTATCTATTTTTATTAGAATTATATATTTTTATAACAATTTTAATAACTACCAACATTTATTCACAACGTAAAATAAAACAACAAATTATTGAGTCTACCCCACGTCTACCCTACATCATAGTTTTACATTTTTTAAATAAAATTAGAACGACACTGATAAACCGGAATTTAAGTCTGCCATATTTGAGGCCCATCGCGGTGTACTTACCTAAGATTTTTGATATGCTCCTTCCTTAGTCTTCTTATTCAAAGAAGAGTCCAAACGTAAGGAACATTTTGTTGACGTTTGACCATCAAAATCTTAAAAATATAGAAGTTGTCTAAAAATGTGCTACAATACGGATATAGTATAATCCTTTATCTTTAATTTCCTCCTTCATTTGTGTAAAAATACCTAGCAACGTTCACTTTGCTACTTTTTCGGACCAGTGAAATGGCCCCTTAATAAAAACCATCAATCCGCACCAAAGCATCTTTTAATTTCGGATATTTACCATTGTTCCAATTGGTCAGCACCTCCCCCTGCTTCTGCCAGTCCCTCAAATTGACAGATCGGCCGGCCCTGACCCTAGGCCTGCCCTTCACAGTTCTCTCCATACTGTTCGGCCCGCACCAAAACCCGCGCTCTAACCGACATGTTGACACATCACTACGTCAATCGGAACAGTTTTTGTCACTACACTTCTTTGAGTCACTACAGTCTTAGTGATTTTCCGAAGACAATATTTGTCCGATAGTTTTTATTTTATAACCAATAGGGTATTTTGGTTCGTTGGAAACAATACAAGCGAAAGGCGCTGGTATAAGAAATGTAAATTAGATTATGGCTGTGTCGGTATTTGTTATTGGTAACGGTTTAATTGTGTTTATTGCTTATTAACTAGTAGTGGGAACTATCGAATGAATACTATCGAAACATTCGATAGTTGCAATTCATTCGAATAATTCGATAGTTAGTAAGAAAACATTCGTTGAAAACTATTCGAATAAAAATTATCGAATAGATCCGTCATCTGCCTTGAAATATTGTATTCTAGTAATTCGGCAGTAAAAACCATTCATTTATACAATTCATTCATTTATGAAATTCATTTATTCGTCAGGATCGATTATAATAAAATATTAACTGAATTTTAGTTGTCGCCCGGCGACGTAGGTTTCTTTCCGAGAAACCCGACAGCAGTCGGTGGCAATGCTATGAAAGAAGCCGGCATCTTTGATTTTTTGCGGAGTCAGATATAGATAAGGACACATTATTTTTTTTATTGAGGTGCTAGTATTTACACAGAAAATACATTATGAAGGGCGCTGTTGCCATATTTTGGCATTAGTTGATATTAGCAAAGAATATTATTGTTTGGCTTTAGTTAGTTAGGGATAGTATGTCTATATATTCTGCATTTTTTTTTATTAATATTCTGTTGTTACACTGCAATAATACTTGTTATTTTGGATGTAAGAACATGAAAGTGATTTTTAATGTTTTTAAGCAAAGACTGGTTTAATAAATAATAATAACAGTAATAATTTGTTATACCTATTAACAACAAAATTTAAAATGATTTAATATCAATATTTTTTTAAGTAGTAGCAAAATATAAACAACAAATTAGATGTCAAAATTATTTATATTAGATCCTATTTAAAAATAATATAGTCTTTAAATTTTTTGGCAACGTTGGTTTGTTAAATAATAATAATTACAGAACTAATTTGTTATATTAACAACAAATTTTAAAATCATGAAATATAAACATTTATTAATTTTCTAAGCATGCAGTGTAATGGAACGAAAATATAAATAAAAAATTAGAAATCAAAATTATTTATATTAGGTGCTTTATATCTCTATTTAAAAATTATATTAATTAATTATATTACTTTTACTGGCATTTACTTTAAAAAATAAATGAAATATTTCTTCGCAAAAAACTACATGTTAGAGAATTAGCATAAACAAAATACAAACATCGTTAACTTTTTTTTTAAATTGGCACGTGTAAAACTTTCATTTTAATTTTCTCACCCCATAGTTTGAGTTCGATAACCCCCCATTTACTTAACCACATTACTTAAATATGATTATTAAGTTCCAACTAATTCATATTATTAAAACATCTAAAATGCAAATATGTATTTTTAAAATTAATTGTAAGTTCATCTCATCCCTCTTAAAAATTGCTACTTCTCAAAATTTCCCATTAAAAAATAGACCATATACCATATAAAATTAAATAACTGAAAGATCGGACTACGGAAAACAACACAAATTTTCGGAAAAATTTTGACCACCTGCACATGCACACAATCGTCAATAAATAAAATTAAAAAATAACTACTATTTTAGTATTTTAACTATTTTAATAAATGCAAAAATAGCACAGTATTTATACGGCGAAGTTATAAAAATTTGGAAGAACTAATAATGCACTGGCGCATACAAAAATCAAACGAATACTAAATTTCATTTATCAAAAGCATTCGATAGTCGTGGCTCAACGATAATCATTTAGTCGCACGGCGAGGTTGTCACATATGCTTTAGTATACAAATGAATGAATGATTTTATTCGAATAAAACCATTCGATAGTTGAAATCATTCATTCATTAACCATTCGATAGTCTAATTCATTCGATAGTTCCCATCGCTATAATATTAACCACTTCTAGGCGTTGCTTAAAAAATTGTTTAATTAATTTCAAGAAGTTTATGGTCATCAAATTGTCAAGATTTGTTTATTAAATAAATTTAACAGCCATTTTTTTATACCGGGTTACAGTTGAGTGTTGGAACCTTTGGTGTTACACAGCAAAATAAAAACACTAAATCACCACAATACACCAAAACACTTTTACTTTTACACCGGACGCGCGTTTCTGAACAGCGGGAAGGTACAGCAATGGGTAATCCATTGTCTCCATTTTTGGCTAATTTATTCATGAGCAGGTTTGAAGTGGAGGCTAAGAATCAGTTTGAGTATTTTCCAAGAGTATGGTTTAGGTATGTGGATGATATTTTTGCTGTTTTTGACACACATTCAGACACCATAGATAATTTTATTTCTAAGTTAAATAATCGTTTTCCTTCCATTAAATTTACGCATGAAATTGAGAACAACGACAGATTACCATTTCTAGATGTATGAGTTATTAGAAATATTAATAATTGCCTGGAATTTAATATCTATAGGAAAAATACGACCACACGCAGATATATTCCTAATGAATCACATCATAGTGTTGAACATAAAATGGCTAGTTTAAATTTCCTAGTTCATAGATAACTTAGTTTCCCACTTTCCAAAGAAAGATATGAAATAGAAAGAGATTACATTAGGAATGTAGCTGAGTGTAATGGATATTCTCCTTCACTAGTTGATAAATTAATTAGAAAACGTAGGTATAGGTTAATGATTTCTGAAAATTCGACTTTTCAAGTGGAGAAAGACACGTCTAAATATTTTTCGATGCCGTTTGATAGAGAGTTATCCCGTGGTCTAAAAGGAATTTTGAAGAATGTAAATTATAAACTTGTGTATAGTGCTAATAATAAATTACAACAATTATTAGGTAATCCAAAGGATAAAACACCTCCACTGGAAAGGTCGGGTATTTATGAAATTTCTTGTAAAGATTGTAATCAGAAATATGTTGGGCAAACTAGAAAATCAATATTAACTAGATTTAAAGAACATTTAGCTCAGATAAGATATGGTAAACCGGATAAATCTTGCGTTGCCGAACATATTGTTCATAAAGAACATTGTATAGATCTTAATAATTTAAAATTAATTAAACAAGTCTCAAATTACAGGCAATTAGATGCATATGAAAGCATCAGAATTAATAAATGTAAAGATAGTATGAACAGAGACAACGGTCCAATTCCTTCAAGTTCTTTTTCCTACTACTCTAGTGGCGGAAATCTAACTCTTACGCTCAGTTGGCTCTGACTCGGTTGGCTAGATTTTGCCACGCCCACTCGGTGCCCACTGAGCGAGTATATAAACGCTCAACTTGTAGATTGTACTTTAGTTTATAATCATCTGCTGATGATGCTAACATGGTTAGCGAAACGCGCGTCCAGTGTAAAAGTAAAAGTGTTTTGGTGTATTGTGGTGATTTAGTGTTTTTATTATACCGGGTATTACTCAAAAGTGGCTCACCCCTATAACTTCTTAATTTTTTCAGATAAAAAAATCAGATTTGGTGTCTTAGTATAATATGATATAAATCAGGATTGATTGACGTATTCAATTGTTTTCGGTCACTTCCTGTTTCACCGGAAATGACTCCAACTTTTGATTTTTAAATTACACCCTCCGAATTTTTTTACTTTATTCCATAGAAAATGACACTGAATAGAATGACATATCATATGTCAACTTTTGACATTTACAGCGGTTGATAACGACAATTTGACTCGAAATACCAAGTGTGTGGTGTCAAATTATTCGTAAAAAACCGTACGATCGAAAAAAAAAGGCGTCCAGTTGGCTTAGAAATGACGATCGATGACATTTCCCATATAATTTTACATATAAAATGACAGCGATCTTTATTTCATAGCCATCGCTGACGCCGTTTTTATTCGATCATACGGTATTTGATGTATTATCTGGTTTTGATTCTGAAGAAAGGTTGTTGAATATCGTGCTCCATATCCACTTTTTGTTTTTGTAGTAATAATTTATTGTTATGAGCTACGAACATTACTTTGCCGGCCCTTTGTGCAGTTAAGCGATTCTTTTTTAGTATGGATAAAACTGTAAGTACTGAAACTTCTCTCAGTGGCTGCAGATGACGTTGGTAAAGACAGAAGAGCAACAACTAAATATTTCAACTGAGTATTTTTACACATTGCTTGCCAGCAACTTAGACAGTCTACATTTTTAACTGACATCCAAACGTAGTCGAGGGCCCATAAACCCGATTTGGCGCAATAATTTGTTACATCTGTAAAAATGGCTTATTATTGACAAACTGGGGATGTTTGTTGGTGATATTGTTGATAAATTCCATAGCGGCTATGTGTTCTTCATTGTTACGGTGCTCTCCCAGGAAACAGAGGGGTCCAAGAGATTCCCGACAAAATGCATTGGATTAAGGGCCATACGTTTTCTATTTCGTAATGCTGAGAAGCATTCTCTTTGTTCTGATTTAAGAATGGGCATACTTGATACACTTTCCTTAAATTTTTGCTCAATGTCTTGAATTTTGAAAAGAAATTTCTTGAAAAATTCGCATTTCTGCGAATATTCGCGATTTTGGGACCGAATATTTCGGAAATTTCCTGCAAAATTCGAATGGAAATATTCGCTACCAACATCACTAGTCAGGACAAGACACGAAAAACATTATACGATCAAATCTATTTTTCCAATGCTTCTTGCAAATGCCAAATGCAAAAATGCGAAAAGTTGACATATTATGATATGTCATTCTATTTAGAGTGTCATTTTCTTAAATTGTACTGAAGCTGTGGTTGGTTCCTTGTGAAACATCGTTGAAATATTAGTATTTTAATAAAGCACGCTTTTAGATGTTTCAAAAAACTTTTAATAAGAGTAACTTTAACTCTACATATATGTTTCGGCTTGTTAGGCCTTTTTCAAGAGTTTTTTAAGAACTAATCGTCTATCTACACTGTAACTATATATATATTTGCTATGGGGGTGGGTTCAGAGAGTTTACAATAGGAGTAATAAAAAATGTGTTTAGAAATCCTTGTTGGTCGTTAACATTATTTTCGTTTTTAACAGATTTTAGTATTTCTAACTGTTCAATGTAATTTAAGCGTCTACCTTTTGTTTCTCTGTGTAGTAACTTAATTGAGTTTTCATTAATTTTGTGATTATTTACTATACAATGAGTTGCAAGACCAGAACTATGCTGGAGATTATTAATATACTTTACATGTTCTTTAATCCTTATATCTAAATTTCTACCTGTTTGGCCTATGTACACGGCATCACAGTATTGCAATCCACCCTATATACACCCGACTTATTTTTGACATTAGTTTTGTCTTTATTATTTAATAAAATTTGACCTAAATTTCTTTTATTTACGTTAATAGTTTTACATCCTATTTTATTGAGATTATTTGATATTTTGTTAGTTAAATTAGGAATGTAGTTTAAAGGTTGATAATTGTTATTGTCTTTAGAATTAGCGGATTAAAAATTTTTCATTAATATTTTGTTTTGTTTTTTCTTTAGCATATTATCAATAAGGGAACACTTATATCCATTGTTGATGGCGATCTGTTTAATAATATTTAACTCTTTTTTAAAATTCTCTGGGCTCAGTGGAAACATTACTAATCTATGAATTAAACTATGAAAGGGTGACATTTTGATTTGCCAGGATTGGTGTGATTGACTATGTATTACAGTGTTGTGGTAGTGGGTTTTCTGTAAATATCAAATTGTAATCTATTAGACTGTTTTATAATTGTAACATCAAGAAAATTGATGGTATTAATACCTTTTTCAATAGTAAATTGTATTCTCGGGTTAATTGAATTTAATAATGTTAAAAAACTGTTTAAATTTCTCTCGGTGCCTGACCAAATACAAAAAATGTCATCTACATATCTTGCCCAAACATATATGTAGAGTTAAAGTTACTCTTAAAGCCGAAACATATATGTAGAGTTAAAGTTACTCTTATTAAAAGTTTTTTGAAACATCTAAAAGCGTGCTTTATTAAAATACTAATATGTCATTTTCTATCGAATAAAGCAAAAAAATACCGAGGGTGTCATTTCCGGTGAAACAGGAAGTGACCGAAAACAATTATTGAATACGTCAATCAGTCCTAAATTATGTCATATACTAAAGTACCAAATCTCGTTTATTTCTCTGAAAATTAGAAAAAAAGTTATAGGGGTAAGCCAATTTTGAGAGAAACACCCGGTATCGGGTATAGAAAGAAAAATTAAAAATTAGAATATATATTTTCTTATGATTAAATCAACACATGATTAAAATTGTAGTCTTTTAAACCAATAATTTATTTAAAAAAATATAATAGTAATTATTCTAATTTCAAAACATTTAGCCTAGCGCATTCGCCAATTTTATAAAAAAAATTGTAAGTTTTTTTTCCTGGTTTAAGAGATTCCTGTAGTGTGCATTTTTACCATTGGATTGGAAAAAAAAACGGCTGGGGAGTAACATTCGATGATAACTTTGGTGAGGTCATGCCCTAGACGTAATTTACTTGGCCCTACTAATCGAAACGCTCTCTATCCTATTTTAATCTTTCTATAGTTAACGTTAATTTTTTGGCACGTTTTATGTCAATTTTTAGTACATAACGTCTAGAGATTGACCTCGCCAAAATTATTATCGATTGTCATTCCCAGCCGGCTTTGACGCCGTTTTTTTTTCGATCATAATATTATGATAAAATCATACAGACGTTAAAAATAAAATAAACAAAATAGATGCTTTTACCCAAATTCCTCACAAGCATGATGTACGAATATTCGTACACGAACAACGCATGTGTGGAGTCAATTTTAGAAAAAAAAAACTCTACTTAGCATTTTTTATGTTATATAACTATATTTTTGTGAATCTAGTGGTTTTTCAACGCGTCCAAAATATATTTAAAAAAAATAAAATATAAGAAAAAATATACCAAAAATATCAATTAATTTGAATCAAAATTAAATATAATTTACAATATTTTTTTTCTAAAAATATATAAAAATTTGATTAGCAGTAAAATATTTAGGAAAAAAAACTTCATCAGCACCATAAAACTTATTTCGGAAAACCCAAACTTCCCATTAACTATTTTCTAAACTATAAACAAAGAGAACAATAAAATTACTCTGGATAAGATCAATAAAAACACTGTATGAATGAAACACGCGTACACACGAACCCGATACGACATAAAAACTGACTTCGACTCAACTCACTAGCGTAAAAAGTGTACAGACTTGCCTCCTAAACTGCCAGAACTTAGTCCGTTGGATCTTGGCCAAAAACTTTATATACATTCATGCGGATGTGTTATGTAAAGAAAGCAAAGAAAGCGTCTATTTGAGAGAAAGATGACAGAATGATTATTTTTTTACTAAAAGATTGAATGGGATTCAGTTAAAACGGTTTTGAGCAAAAACAATTTATTAGACAAGAATAATGTGCCTGTAAGACTCAGATGGACTGAGTTTTACAGAAATATGTGTCGTTTTTTATGTAATTGGAGTAAATTAGGCAAAGAAAATAAAGTCCTTCTACTCTGGGTGCCCTAAGCCAACTAAACTCTGTAAAACCGTCTCAAATAGTGACTTTTGTCTAGATCTAATATACTAATATACATCCCTTTATCGGGTCGAATGATCAGTAAAAATTATATTATAAAAATTCCTTGCATCAGAATTTATAAAAAAATGTTACAGTCAATACAAATTAGATGTTATACCAGAATTTCATATAAAGTTCTACAACAATGTAAAAAATATTCGACAAAATAACATAATATCCTGTTTTTCTCTAGTTTATAGAGATATATTTAATATAATTATTTACTTTAAATAAAAAAAGTTCAAAATCCAAAAAATCGCCTACGACCATACATAATGACGTCAACTGGCAGCACACACCGTTTAACCTTACGAAAAATATTGAAAATTTCCAAAAAAAATAATTTTGTTATAAGATTTTAGTTAATTTTCAATGGTTCAAATAATTTTCCAACCATTTTTAATTAAAGCCCCATATTCACTATGCGCTGATGCGTCGATTTGATGCGTCCATGCACTCAGAGTGAGTATGATATGGTTCGGCGATGCGATTCGTTAGTTCGCTTGGTAATTCTTTGATTGTGTTCGTGATATTTCTTTTGATGGTTCGCCCCAAAACCGACTTTCCACCGAACTGCAGCATTGGCGCATCAAATCGACGCATCGACGAACCGCATCAACTTTTTATTTCATAAACTATATAGGGTGAGTCTTAAATAAGTGCAAATATTCTTACGCGTGGTATAACGTCTATATGATTTTTTCGCGAAAAAAAAAATTGAAAATTTTAAATTTTTCGAAAACTTTTTTGGATTTTTTTTTGTATGTTTTCTGTTTCAGTGCTGAACAAACAACAACAATGGCTACTTATTCTCAATTTTATCTCCTCTGCCTTTGTTACACACCTTTATCACAATTAAATTAACATAACACAATTAACTTTTAGTAATAAACATAATAATTGTTTGATTAATACCGAAATTATCACGATAAGATATCTAAAGTAATTAATAATTATAAATTATAACCTTATAGCTTTCCACAAATTAGCTTAGAAACAGAAATTATTTAGATATAATTAATTAATTTAAAATAACTTTTATTTTTAAATTGGCTAACCAAACCAAACCTTGAACAACATTTTTCTTTTTCACCTTTACAGGAACATTAAAAACATTTAGTCATTTACTAAAAATTGACGTAAAATTTGTCAAAGATTAACTCTAATTAGGGAAAGATTAGAATTTTAAACTACACCATTTCAAAATGACTTAAAAAAATAGTACGAGCTAATTAAATGACGTCTTGGGTTTGACCTCGACGATAATTTTCATCGATTGTCATTCCCCCGCCGTCCTTGACGCCGTTTTTTTTTCGATCGTATGGTATATTAGTCAATAATACAGTGTGTTCAATATAACCGGACAGACAATAATAAACGGCATTCCAAAAATGATCTTTCACTAAAAACAAAACAAAAACAGTTTTTCACAGAACTAAAAAAAATCAAAATACACAACTGCTACATCACTGGGTATTTTTAGCGATTGTGGTTATCACGAGACTAAATTTTTAAATAAATGTTAAGTTTAATTGTTCTGAATGTCGTCCGTATGAGTGTGTTGGTACTTGTGTGTTTCCTCTATCCCCTCCCCTACTATCTGTTACCAAGTGATTCATTTAATTATTTTTAAAAGGCATGAAAGTACGTACCTACTTAGAATTGGCGAAATTATGATACGAGATATGAATACGAAATTCCGAAATTTTAAGCAAAAAGGAAGTAAGTGTAACTTAAAATACTTTTATTTTCAAACGTCACAAAAGTCTTAATTTTTGCGACATGATTGGCAATATAAAAAAGGCATTTTAATGCCTAGGCATAAAAGTAAAGCACTGTTACGCCTCACAGTTAGCCTGGGCCAAGATGTCAAGAAAAAAAATATATAAACTTTGAGTACTTTATTTTTTAAATGCCGATACCACTGGCTTCAAAAAAATATAAAAACTAACATCGCCGACGTACAATTGGGGTCTCTACACAAATTTAAAAAAAAACTTTTTCAACCAAAGTAAAAAGCGCGCAGAAAGTTTTCTTAATAATAAATAACGACCATCATCACCAAAAAGTATGCTTACTGTTGCCCCCCTCCCTGTTTCTAAATCCAGGAGGTTGGGTTTCTGCACAAATTTAAATAAAAATAGACTTTAATCCAATGGAAAAAGCAAAAAAATATTTTTTTTCTAATATTTTAGTGATAAAATTTTACTTTATGATCGTAAGTATTAGTAAACAAGTAAAACTACAAACTAACAATTAAGGAAGTACAATTAATAACTTTAACACACACTGAATTTAGACTAAAAAGGAAGAAAACAATTAGGTACTAGCTATAAGTAAATAAATAAATTTTAAACATGGTTACTGTTGTAGGAAGCAACACTCCTAAGGAGATTTTTTTGATAGTTTTTTGTGATCTCGGATTTAAATTAAAGTTTTTTGAGAACAACTTAAAAGAATGATGCACCTGCTCTGAGGCTCGCTCAGAGTAAAAGCCCAATGCTTTCTGTGAAATACTAAGAAAATCCACTATATGGTGAACAACAGCGTGAATTTTTGGAGTAAAACTGATTTTCGTATCTCTTATTTTGTCGGAAAATTTCAGTATATAGGCTTCGTAATTGGTATCAATATATTTTCCAAAACAGCTGGCTACCACATTATTGAAGGCACAAAATACCTCTATGTATTTGTTGTCTAAAAAAATAAGCAAAGGGCTTAGTATCCAAATAACAATAATAAAATAAAGTCTTGATACAAAGTAAGTTAATTAGAGTCATACCAGGATCTAGTGCTTTAAGGACGTCAACTTTTTTAAGCAAGTTTCTGGCATTATTTTCATTAAATCTGCTGTAATGGTCTAATTGTATCCCAGAACTTCTTAGCCAGCTTTCAGCAATATCCGGAAAGTCCTTTTTTAGAGAATCCTATATTTTTTGTACAACTCCCATAAATAAAATGTAACTCCGGCGGTGGAATATAGTTCATAATTGGAAGATCGTCATCACCAGTTATTAAAGGAATGTTGACGCAATTCTCTAAAAATTTTAATTAAAATTTGCAAAAAATAAAAAAATAACTATTAAAAAAGTCAATAAATTAAACTTAGCAGTACACTTACTGTACTTTTCTGTTTCCTTTAAATTTCCACCTGTTTCCTCGTTCCATAAGGTACGCCATTTGGAAATATCTTTTATGGATCTTAGTTCTCCCCTTGACTGTAAATTTTTTGAGTTAACATCACACCAGGCACATGGATGGCATGATGATGAAGATTGAAGGCCCGATATAATCATTATCAACTTTAGATCTGCGGCAAATATGTAAGAACTGACTCCACAAATAGTTTGGAGTTGCAAAATCTCAAACATTGCTCTGATATTTTTGTAGGTTTCTATTATTTTGGGAGCCAATCCTATTATAATAAGTTTGTTTATTCCGGTACTTTTATGTTTTTCTTGTTTTATTTCGGGATTTTCGTAACAACATAAAGACAGGTAAATTTTTAAAGATTCGCCTCTACTATCTATACCCAGATTTAAATGGAAATAATCAGTAAGTTCACGTTTTTTAAACAAATGGTATTTCCACCTGGCCAGGCAGGCAAATTGGTCAAAAAATATCCTTAGGAGTGTTGCTTCCTACAACAGTAACCATGTTTAAAATGTATTTATTTACTTATAGCTATAGTACCTAATTGTTTTATTCCGTTTTAGTCTAAATTCAGTGTGTGTTAAAGTTATTAATTGTACTTCCTTAATTGTTAGTTTGTAGTTTTGCTTGTTTACTAATACGATCATAAAGTAAAATTTTATCACTAAAATATTAGAAGAAAAATATTTTTTTGCTTTTTCCATTAGATTAAAGTCAATTGTTATTTAAATTTGTGCAGAGACCCAACCTCCTGGATTTAGAAACAGGGAGGGGGGCAACAGTAAGCATACCTTTTGGTGATGATGGTCGTTATTTATTATTAACAAAACTTTCTGGGCGCTTTTTACTTTGGTTGAAAAAGTTTTTTTTTTAAATTTGTGTAGAGACCCCAATTGTACGTCGGCGATTTTAATTTTTATATTTTTTTGAAGCCAGTGGTATCGGCATTTAAAAAATAAAGTACTCAAAGTTTATATTTTTTTTTCCTTGACGTTTTGGCCCAGGCTAACTGTGGCCTAAAGCCCCATACTCACACTTCACTCCTTCCTCTCCTTACTTCCTCGCGTTACTTCCTCGCGTTCCTTCGTCCCTTCGCTTCCTTCCTTCGTCCATTCGATGCTTGGAAATTAGTCAGTTATGCAACAACACACCACAAAATATTTTTAGCAGCTACATGTTTAATACGAAATATCTAATAAACTCTAAAATTTTTAAAAAATCCGAAAGGCGCATAATTTTTATTTTATAAAACTGCAATTCTTTGTCGTGTCAAAAATAAAAATTGAATTTTAATAATATATATTTTTTTTAATAAATCCGAATATTTCAGTATCATGTACAAGGTATATCAGTATGAATGTACAAGGCGAGTCAACAATAGAGTAAAGTTTATTATGTAATTTATATCGAAACCATGAAATATGACATACTAATTAAAC